AACGCCCTCGGCTGGTCCACCTCTGCGATTGCAACTGATTAGCTTTCGTACTGTGGACTGGTAGCTCGGCGGGGATACGCCCACCGAAGGGAGGTGACAGCTCCCGTAAGGTGTAGGTAAGTCGTGCCTCGCGTAGGGCCTATCCTGTCGTAGGGGCTCGCGAGAGGTATGGCTGRCGCACCCGGCCGAAGCGGCTTGTGGAAGCTCCATGTTTATTGCGACGAAGGGTTGCAAAAACCAACTCCTGCGTGACGCGGCCGGGAGGGTCCCGCGCTGCCCCGCGCAGTGCCGGACCGATTGCGCCCGACAACGCCCTGACATCGCACAACAGCTCCGATTGGATCGCTGGACTGCGAGGCCTGTTTATTATCCGGATAAGAGCATGGACAATTACGGCACGCTGAGCACTTTCCAGAACTCCAAGGACAAATGGAATACCCCACCGCACCAGAACGTGGTCGTCCAGAACATACGGAAGTTGTGGCACGAGTCGAACTGTCCCGAAGCTAAAGGCGGCTCAGCGGCAGAAGTGAAAAATGCACAGTATAGAAAGTTTGCGGGAGAGGCTCTTCGTTTGACCGGGATTCGTAATTTGATTGACATGTCCCTTACTACTCAGTGGAGCGGCCAGTGGTCTGACGCCCTCGGGCCCTACATGTTGTTGGCAAGGGCGACAGGTGATGTTTTCGAAAAGGTGAAACAAGTGTACGTCGCTTGGGGCTGGACAATTGTCGGTGAGAGATGCTGTGAAGCCTGCTACCAAACAAGGTGAATCAGGGAAGGCACCGAGGGCTGGACCCAGATTTGAGTTGAAAGGTGGAGTTAGGTATCCGGTTCACTGGGTTCCGGGTACCATGACTATGCACGATCCGGATATCAGAGCGTGGAAGCCTTTTTCAACGCTTGGGAGGCGTGAGCGGCTGCAACTGTTACGAGACATTCTCACATGCAGTGTGATACTGACTCCTAAGCGAAGTGGAGCTGTTGAACGTGTCGGGAAACATTCAACGGAAACATATGTGGAAATGGTGAAGATTGAAAGATCAATGTTGAGGATGTTTCACTACTTCGTCTTCATTTCTGACCCTCACAGGAAGTCGTCAGAGTGGACGGAACCATTCTTCAACAACCTTTCCGATTTGATAAGTACTCTGATGAAGAATTGACGTCCGAGAGGTGGATCGACCAGCGTCGTCATTTCAAAGAGATGAGTTGGGTGCGAACGTTCCCGGCTACACTTGGAGGAGAGGAGGAAAAAGAAGACGAGGGCTTCAAGAAAACAACGTCACTTGCTGCGAAGTGCCCCGAAGAGTTCGTGCAGTTTGTCAACAAGCTGCTGCGCAGATCAGAAACCAGGGGTTCGGAAAGCATAAGAATGTCGGGCTCAACTCAATATATACATTTCAAAAGACAGAACGTGAACTCTGTTTTCGTCCCATTCCAACGGGAACCAAGCGATATTTCAGTGAGATGGAATCCAAGGAAATATATAGAGTCGTCAAACATCTGAGTTGCCACATGGCCGTGCTGGATTTATGTCACCCAACCCAGATAGGGGTGTAGACTGAAGAAGTCTTTGATGGTCTGCGGAAGTTCATGGGAAAACTGGCTGGTGATTATTGAACATTATTGTGCTTCGTTTCGTGGTCTTACGAGTATACAGTTTTCAAGCGAGTTACAAGTTGGGAGATTGACATTCACTTGTCTATTCTAAAGTGGACTCGTCAACTACAAACGAAGGCGAAACATTTCTATAAGGTTGCGAACTTGTCTTTGGAGGACACAGACAGAATGACTGTCATCATGTATTCCAACGATGGGGATTATCACCGCAACACTATTCCCTTGCTTGAAGACATTCCAGCAAGCACTCCAGCTGCAGATCGATCATCTGGCGAGCAGGCGGGTGACTTATGAGCACTTGTGCGCAGAGAGAGAAGGCCAAAGCTGTTGGCTGATGTCGTGGAGAAGAACTTCACGCCCACGAAGTTGAAAATGGCAGGTATGGAGCCAAGGGAGAAATTGGTGTACGAAGGTATGGAAAGGGAGCCAAATGCGATGGTGGAGACATTGGAGCATTTTTGTCCTGTGGATGAGGCGGTTGTTTTCCTGGGAAAAGGCCATGCGGCGTTGATTTGGGAGTTGTTAAAGAGTCACCGTCATTGCATTGTTCTGGAAGGGGAGGGTATGAAGTTCGAGTTTCTCGTTCAATTCGTCACCAAGATGGTCAATAGTGGACTTTACCTCGCCAAATTTGTTAAGCCGCCTCCTCGACATGATGAAAAGCGTGATCTCGTCTACAAAGTCGGCAAAAACATCGTCAACATTTGGGAGTTCCTTTTCAAGACTAAGCCAGAAAATAGAGGGGAACGTGCATATGTCGTCAGAAGGCGAAAAATGGAATCACTTCTGAGGGGGTATCATAAGGCACCGGCGGAGACGGAAGTTGCATTTCTAGACCGTTTAGAGATGATGTACTTCGACGAACAAATCGGGGGGTTTACAATCGCAGCTTATGCAACTTGTTTTGGGGAAGGCTTCGATGCTGAGGACTCAGAGGAAGAAAGTGAAGATGGTACTTTGCAAGCGGCTTTGGTAGATGAGAGGCAAAAAACTTGTAGCTCGGCTTCGCAGAAGATGGGTGCGCCGGCCTGCTGGGCACATCGTCCGGTTCTGGGGGGGCTTCGAGTATGGCAGTTACAACGGACCAGTTTCAACGGACCAGTTACATGGTGGGCAACACAACAGCGCTATCTTCCGGCGCAGTTCGGGATGATCCGAGGCTGCAGGCAATTCTCTCTCCAGAGGTTATGGCAAGTCTGTCAGCACTTGCACATAGCCCGGCTACTGTTTTGGAATTGCTACGCTCTCAAACTCCTCAACCACTTCTGTCCGAGCCTTTGGAGTACGAGATTGAAGACATCATCCCTCCGGACATTGCACGGCTTCCTGGACCTATTGTGTGCCGGGACGATTATACGGTGATGCCTGACAACGTATGGGGTCATCATATTATATGGCACCCCCACCACTTCCAACCTGCATTGGCGAGAGGGAACTTGGTAATGGCTATAAAAGAAGAAGGGGAGTGACAAATTTGCCTCCACAGACGCATGTCACGATCCAAGTTTGTCGCACACGCCAAAAATGAGATTGGCAAGAGACTATTGTGACTTAATCCGAAGGTTTCTCAATCAAGACTGGATGCAAGGACAGAAGAAATCTTTGAGGAGTTCAAAACATCTCGATGACTTGAGTATCTGGAAGAGTCCTATGATCGAGAAACAAGTCCAGCTTTTGGATATAATTGGCGTATCGAAGAGGAACTTGAAGACAAAGTTGGGGAAAGGAAAGGAGCGAGCGGCGATGAGAGTGACAAGGGATCAGGATCAGGCGGCGGTGCGCTTGGCAAGGGAACAAGATCAAGTGGTGGTGAACATGGCAAGGGATCGGAACCACGGGGCGGTGCCAGTGGTAAGGGTCTGGGACCGAGCGTCGGTGCAAGTGGAAAGCCAACAAGTCATGGTGAACTGCAAAAACACGAATGTCAAGGGCGTCAAGCAACAGAGGGAAAGGTATCAGGACCAAGCGGCGGTGCACATGACAAGGGATCGGGTTCGCCTCTGGGATTAGGACCAAGCAGCGGTGCACATTGCAGGGGATCGGGTTCGCCTCTGGGATTAGGACCAAACGGCAGTGCACATGGCAGGGAATCGAGAGGCGATGTAAGTGGCCAGGATTTGGGAGGAAGCGGCGATGCAAGCGTCAAGGGAGTAAGTCATGGAGAACTGCCGAAATGTGTCGAGGACGTCCTTCCGGATGACCAAGTTTGGGCGACCACTGTGTTGGCGAGCGAGAGTGTTACTGCGCAAGTGGATAATACTGGTGCACTTGCAGAATTAGAGATGCCATTGGATATGCCAGCTGAGAAAGATGAACATGAAGTCTCTCTGGACATGAAGAATGAAAGCGCGACTGCAGGTGCAAACGAAACTGCCAATGTACAGGCCATCGAAGAGGATGAAGGACATATAGTACTAAGTACACGGGAGCAACATATGCTTGTACAACCTGAACTTATGGTTGCAAAATCAGAAGCACAACAGTCTGCTAACCTCGTGATATCTATCGACGAATCTTCTTTTACACCATCGCATGGTGCGATAGAAGATCGTGTTGAAGACAAAGTGTTAGTGAGCCACCGAGGTGAGCACGTACTTATCTCTAAGGGAATATCTAATACTGTATGCGGATTAGGGGGTACATGCACTCATCTCATAGGAACTAATTTTTTGCCTAAGTTTGCAACCGTGCGCTCGGTCATGAGAAGAAATGAAGTAGAATATTGTGTATCTCTTATTTGCAATTATGTGGAAAATTGAACTTAAACTCATAATATTTTGTCTTGTCAATCATTGTCGTTTTATATTGCTGAACATGCAGGACGACGAAAAAAACTGTGGAAAACGACGCACGTACATTCGCAAAGGCAGAGTGAGAAGAATATTATTCGTCGTGGCTTGCAAGCCTTATCGACTTTGTCGTTATTGCCCAAAAAAGAGAGAAGAAAACTTACACCCATGACATTTCCATCTATGAAGTCAGCTGGCCTAAGCATGTTTAAAGCTGTTGGAATAAGCCTCAGGGAAGGGAAGAAATTGCATCGCGAAGGTTGCAGTTTATCTATTGTAGATGACAGCTCTGATAGCGAAACAGATAGACAACCAAAAACATGAACTTGGGTCTATGTTGTACATCATATAACGAAAAGTTCATTTTTGTATGAAGTCTTAGTCGTTCCATTGTTGTTTATATGTGTGTTTGTATGCAGTGCATGACCCTTCGTTCCATATTCCTTTAGCAACAAAACGCCTCACCGTAGAAGAAAAGGAGTATCTTGACATGATTTCAGGCAGCAGCGAAGACAATGAAGCATACTGCATTGTCGATTACAAGGGGAGCTGGAAGGTGGGAAAGGAAAACATTATGGTCGTCGTCGAGGATGGGAAATGACTAAATGACGAAGTCGTCAATTTGTACCTGCTAGCCGTCCAAATCACCAATGATCACATCAAGGTTGATTCGGCATGTACAGAAGTGACAAGAGATAGGGTTCCTTTTGTGTACATTTTCAATTCCTTTTTCTTCACTCGATTGTCAGGTCCTTCGAGGTTTGAAACCGCATATTCCGAAGGGATGAAATGGGTGAAGGACACAATTTTTTTATTATTATGACTTAGTGATTATCCCTCTTCATTTTGGAAATCACTGGGCGTTAGTTTATGTCAGCATAGACGGTCCTAACTGTAAATTCCACCTCGTAGACTCTCTCCCTCGTGCTAACTATGTTTCAGTCCTTGAACGTTTGGAATATTTTTTCGAAGCGGAGTTTCATTGGCACAATCTTCGCGAAATATATTATGTGGACGGGCCTACATCCTCCTTTGATACATCAGTGGATGGGATTCCTGCTCAAGAGGATCCTTGTAGTTGTGGCGTTTTTATATTAGGTTTTGCATCTTTGCTTACAAGAGGTCACTTCCCTCCATTTGCTTTCTCACAAGCGAACATTTCTAATATGAGGCTTAGAATAGCATTTGACATTTTGTCTATGGTTAGATACGAAAGTCAATGAGGTGCGACTAAAGCTACAGTCCGTAGTTAATATTATGTTGATGAGATTGACATGTTTACTGAGTGTAAACATTCGAGGTAAAAACTTGACATTGTATTATATTTTGAGCACAGGCAACACGGGAGCATGACTGTCACATTAATTTTTCCTCATTGTTTTGTCGTTCCTTCAACTTTGCATTGCTATGAACATTGTTTCGTCCTTATTTTGCTTTGTCGTTATTTCGATTTGTTGTTATTTTCCTTTGTCGTTATTTTGCTTTGTCGTTATTTCGTCTATAATTTCCTCATTTCATTCTGTCATTTTACAGTTAAAAAAAAAAGTGAACATGAAAACAGTTTCACTTATAACGAAAACACCGTTTAAAGCCCTTGAGCTAGATTTGTTGAACACGCGTAAGTATATTAGTCAGGGAGAAGAAGACATTTTGGATACGATCCAGGACGTGGCGGCCAAGAGACGGTCATGGCTCAGAGCGGTGGGACGATTCTACCCTCGTCCCGATCATGACTACCAAGATGGCCCCGCCCCGGATTCCTCCCCGTATCACTCCCTGCCTCTCACGAAACCTCCTCTTCCCCACAAAGTGGCGCCTGTGAACACGGTCATGGCTCAAGATGCCTCATCCATGCCCATCACCAACTTGCATCTGGCCCAGATGATCCACACTGCTACGACTAAACAGTCCGAGTGGATGAATAACCTACTCCAGATGCAGGCTTCTCAGATGGATCGACTGGAACAGATTATGACGAAACTAGTAAAGGTTAATTCCAACCCTTCCCGCCCCGTCCCCACTCAGTACCCGCTGCTTACTGCTCCTCCCGCAAGGGGATCAGTCCCTCCTGCCGCTCCCTGTCATATGGCTAACCCAGCAGGGAGGATCGAATGCTACAACTGTAAACAACCGGGACACTTCGCGCGAGAATGCCCTCAGTCGAAACGTAATCAGCCACCCCCTGCGGCCGCGCCCGTGGCCTTGAATCAAGGTCGGGTGGCCGCCGTATTAGAACACACAAGGGAAGTTTCCCCCTTCGTCGCCGATCAACCACCCTCAACCGATCCGGGCGCATCTACATCGGGATCCTCTTCCGAGGCCGCAGATATCGTCGATCCAGCTGAGTACCTCCAATTGGACAGACTGATCGTGACGATCCAACCTACCAAAGACGAACTCGATTGGGTCGAACGCACATCGGAACCAGAACCAGAGTTTCAAACGGGAGAGATCGATGTCCTACAGACACTCAAACAGTTTGACATCCGAGTGTCGGTCCCCGTAGGACACTTGCTGATCATATCCGAAGCTACAAATAACAAACTCCTGCAGCAATGCCAGAAGAATCAAAAGCGCTTTACCTACCAGCGCGTTCAGCGCATGCTGAAGAAAAAGAAAGAAGATGAGAACGAGACAAGTCCTCCCCCTTCGATCGAGTCTAGCGCACCTGAAATGGCGAGAATCGCCGCCATGTCTTACGCCGAGAAAGATCATTTTGTGCGTGTCCGATCAGTCCTATGGAAAAGTAAAAAATGTGATTGCGAAGTCTGGGGTAAACCGTTCGATGCGCTTATTGACACTGGATCATCAGCTGTAGCTATCTCCCAGAACACAGTCAGAAAGACTGGACGACTGAACTCTATCCTTCCTCTACCAGGGAGGGACAATTAGTATGTCTCGGTCGATGAAGAGGCCATGAATATCGTAGGGATCATTGAGAACGTTGCGATCAAGGTGGGTCGGGTACATGTGCTGGTTAACGCGTTAGTTATCGATGTACATTCTTATTCGATGCTGTTAGGACTGCCCTGGGCGATGGCGGTAGGCGCACGGATCCATTTCGAGTCTAAACAACTCGTTTTCACCCATACGGGAGGGAAACCTCAAACACTCCCTCTACGAGTCTCTACTCGATCGCCGAAGAAACATCCCAGTATTGGTCAGATAGGAATGATCCAGAGCCCGGAGGAGTCTCTCTTCAAACAATGACGAAGAACAACACCTTGCGTGGGAAGACGAGTTCGACGAGCACGATTACAAGGAGGAACTGAGTGGTATGCCTAGTAAAGAGGAGTGGGATCAATTAATCGAAATGTTCGATTGCGAGACTAAGGAAAAATTTCGAATGATCCCCGCAATCGCTCGAACATTTGGTCCGAGCTCGAAAAATAGTGAGCGGAGCCATATTCTGTCCTTCGAAAAACGGGTCTCCCCCACGTCATTCTTGGCAGAATCGATCTTGCAAATTTCAGACATGGCTGATCTCTTGGAACCCCCTCGTACGTTGTACGAAGGCACACTTTCACTCCGGGCTAGGTATCAGCAGATGAATCAATATCTAGACCTTTCTGTGTCTCCACCTAGATCGCTACTCACGCAAGGAGCCATGATCGCTTTGATCAAGCAAGAAGCGGAAACTCCGATAGAGGATGTTCTAGATCTCATGCAGGAAATGACTGGGTTAACAGGAGTAGAAATAACAAAAAGCGCCATCGACTCCGAAACCGACGCTGAGATTAAGGAGACTGAGATGATCAGCCCGACTGAATCCCAAATGATTGCCACCGTCTTCTCGGTCCGAACAAGTAGTTCCATGTTTTCCGGTGTGCACGACAGGCGATCGCGAAAGATGAATTGGATCGAAACGCCCCTAAACATCGTGGATAATGCAGTAATCACAATACCCAGTCATGTCCCTCGAGATATCCAAAGATCCCTGATTGATGTTTTGCATGGGTATGCCGAGGTATTGAGTGTGCATGACAATGATATTAGGTTATCTAATGTGATTGAGCATGCGATCCTTACGGGGGATCATCCGTCGATTAGTTGCGCTCCTTATCGGTATTCACCGGCGCAAAGAGCGGCCGCATTTAAAAGGATTAAGGAATTCGAAGTTAATGGTTGTATCGAGCCTGCTATCGGACCATGGTCGTTTCCGGTAGTGATTGTGCCGAAAAAGGCATGAGGAATTCGCATATGCATCAATTACCGAAAATTAAATGATATCACGATCAAGGATGTGTATCCCCTGCCCCGGATTGATGACTTGCTGGATGCTATCGGTAGTGCTCGATTTTTCAATAAATTTGATGTTCGTCATAGATTCCACCCTCTCCTTGTCAAAAAAGAAGACCGCCCGAAAACAGCATTCATTCTTTTCGAAGGAACCTGGCAGTGGGTCCGATGCCCGATGGGGATTTGCAATGCCCCAGCCACGTTTCAACGCGCGATGAAATGGCCTTCCAAAACGTCGTGCGAAAAACGTGGTTGGCGCAGAGCATAATCAATTACTGTGTGATTGTGTATATGGATGATATCCTTCCGCTTTCCAATTCATATGAGGGACAACTTCGTACGAAAAACATGACTGGCACAGAGCATAATCAATTACTGTGTGATTGTGTATATGGATGATATCCTTGTGTTTTCCAATTCCTATGAGGGACACGTGCAACACATCGAATGGACATTGCACGCACTGAAGGACGCAGGATTCAAAGTGGCAGTTGAGAAGTGTCAGTTTTTCCTCATCGAGATCTCCTTCCTCGGCCACGTGGTCACGGACCAAGGATTGCAGCCAGAGCCCCAGAAAGTGGTAGCCGTGAAGGACGCGCCAGCGCCAACGTCCGTAACACAAGTTCGTGTTTTTTTGGGTTGGGCATCGTACTATTGAAGGTTCATCAAGGGGTTTGCAGCAATCGCAGGACCACTCACGAATCTGCTGAAAAAGGATCAGTCGTTGATCTGGACCCTGCAATGCGATCGGCCTTTTGGAGAACTCAAGGCGGTCTTGATTTCGACTCCAGTTCTCATAAGACCGGACCTGGAAAAACCCTTTGTTCTCATCACAGATTGGCAGCCGGAGGCGGTTTCAGCAATCTTGGCCCAGGTGGGACCAGACGGCCTCGAACACGTGGTGGAGTACGCATCCAAGACTGTGCCGTCCTGTAAATGCAACTACGGGGCCCCGACGGGGGAATGCTATGCGGCCTTGTCGGGGATCAATCATTTCCAAGCGTACTTATATGGCCGAAGGTTTATACTGGTAACCGATCATGAACCACTACTAACACTGAAGAAGTCCAAGGATTACTCGGGCATGATCGGGCGATGGGCCACCACGCTGCAGAGCATGGACTTTGACATCCGTCATCGGAAACACGAGAAATACTGCAACGCAGACGGGCTGACATGACTCCACCGTCCTGATAAGGTGTCGAGGAGTGAGGAAGTGACCCCCTGGCGCGACCCGGAGCCAAAGAACGAGCCTTGATATGGACAAGTGGAGATCCTGCCGAAGGGTTAAGTGGACACGTGTACCCAACCCTGTCTCTCCCTCCCTTTCCGGTTTTGTTTTTGGAACAATGTAAACTCCCCCTGACTCGATCTCTCCCACCTCTTCTGCTCCCCTCGCCTATTCAGACTTTCTCGCTACCCTCCTGGACAAATTCTGTTATTTTTGCA